CAGTAGAGAGATTTGAATTCCCTGTGAGTTCTACTTCGCTGCTAGCCGCCGGCCAGCTCTCGGCTCTCTTGAGCCTCTACCCAGTTACTACCACAGTCTTCATTCAGGCGACTGGAGATTCTTTCATCCAGCGCTGGCAGTGATTGTAACATAACACTTATTCATTGGGGCTGGGGTTAATGTAAACTAAGTTGATGGAACAGAACTATGAGTTTTCGGCAAATCTCTTCTTTTTTTTTTTTTTGCGGTACGCGGGCCTCTGACTGTTGTGGCCTCTCCCGTTGCGGAGCACAGGCTCCGGACGCGCAGGCTCAGCGGCCATGGCTCACGGGCCCAGCCGCTCCGCGGCATGTGGAATCCTCTCGAACCGGGGCACGAACCGTGTCCCCCGTATCGGCAGGCGGACTCTCAACCACTGCGCCACCAGGGAAGCCCATCAGAGCAATATTATTGATTAATTATGAAACCAATAGGTAAATATTAAAACAAATAGGTAAATATTACACTACTAGTTGTGGAAATGGAGATGTGGGTATTCAAAGCTCAAACTGAAATCATTATTTATCCCCCTTCAAATCCTCTCCTTCTGTATTTAGTGCATTAATATTACCATCACCTATCCAAAAACCCAAGAGTTTTCTTCTATGCCCCCAATCCCCTAGACCTATCAATCACCAGATCCCTTCTGTTTTACTACCTATTTATGTCTAGAATTAGCATCTTTGTTTTCCCTATTCCTTCTGCTCTGGTCAAGCCCTCATCTTGTCCAAACTGGTCTCAGCATCCTCTAGTACAAACTCCAAGTACCTCAGACTGAAGCCTCTCGGCTCCTTGCCATTGTATCTGCAAATGTTACCTACGTCACTCACAAGGCTGAGAGCTCAAGGGGATATGGAGAAGTCTGTCTGATTCACATTTGTATTGCCAGCACCTAGCATAGAGCCTGGACAATGGCCCACACAAGCCTCCACCCATCCATCATCCCTCCTTGCAACGCATGTTTACTGAGCTCCCACTGTGTGCACACTACTCGTGGGGGAACGAGAATATGGCAGCGAACAAAACAGCAAACAACATATTCTGTCCTTACATATGTTGCATCTTACACTGATGCATATATTTAAACCTTTACAAAGAAATTTTGTAAAGTTATAGAGTCAGACATATCCGTGTCCTTTAAAAGGTATTATTATGTGTGCTTTTTCCGGACAGATGACCCTTGAACAACACGGGTTTGAACTGCATGGGTCCACTTACGTGCAGATTTTTTCAATAAATAGGTACTACAGTACTATGTGATCCACAATTGGTTGAATCTGAGGACATGGAATCGCAGATGGGGAGGGCCGACTATAAATATATACATACTCAGATTTTCAACTGTGTGGGAGGCATCACCCCTAACTCCCCGCATTGTTCAAGGGTCAGCTGCTTAAGAAATCCTTTGGTTCTAAACGATGATAAAAAATCTCCCATAGAACCATTATGATTAAGAACTCAGGCCTGCAGTGAAACTGAGTTCAAATCTTATCTTTGCCATTAAAAGCTGGGTAATTTAGTCAACAGTTCTGTGCTTCAGCTCGGTCATTCGTACAGGTAAAAGTATTTAAGGGTATTTAACTCACTGCAGTTGTTTTGGAGATCCGATGAGCTAATACAACTAAATACATATAGAATTGAGTCTGAGAAATTGCACGTTTGTATTGTTATAGGTTATTATTTTATTACGTTTGTTCTTTATGATTGCCTCTCTAATTCATATGAAATTTATTTTCATTTATGGTAGAAATTGAGAGTCCCATTTTATGTTATTCTTCATATGGAAAACCAGTTGTCCCCAAATTTTTGTTTATACTCTTTCAATGGTTTCTCTTTGCTCCAAGAATCACAGGGCAATTCTGTATGTTAATCTACTCAGCTGCATGGGCTCTCTCCCCACCTTTTCAGACTTCCCTTTTTACTACTCTCCACTGCTGTGCTATCGCCACCCTAGCCTCCTTTGTGGTCCTGGAACATACCAGCCTCTTTTCCTCCCCAGGGCCTTTGCACTTGCTATTTTCTTTTCCTGGAATGTTTTTCTTCCCAAATCTTGTATGGCTCCTCCTGGTCATTCAGGTCTTCCCTGTTCACTTAAGATAAAACATGTCATCCCTTCCCACTCCCCCCACCACTCACCGCCAAACCACTACTTTCTCTCTGTTTCATTTTATTTACTTTATTCTATCTTATTTATTTCATTCACCACATTTATGATCTGGAATTTGTTTTGGTAAATCATTCTTTTCTTCCTTCACTGGAACATAAGCTTCATTGGAACAGTAATTCTTGTCTGTTTTATGTACTATGTAGCCTCAGAGTCTAGAATAGTGCCTAGGAAATAGTAGGTACTTAATAATTACCTTATCAGGAAGTCTCTCCTTTTCTCCCTACCAAAACAGGCCTGCTTTTTAGAAGGATAATCCTGGTGACACTATGGAAGTTGGTTTGTCCCATGCCTGGAACGCTCTCTTTCTGGCTTATCCTTTCAGTCTCACCTTAACTATAAACTGTTCACAGAGGCCTTTCTGGACCCTGGTATCTAACATGGATCTCCAGAGACTTGCTGCAACCAGCTGAGATACTGAGATAGTGAACACCCTGAGAATTTAAATGTGCATGTCAGGCATTTAAAGGTAAGCCCTGGGGCTGTCAGAAGGTGAGCTCGATGAGGCAGGAGTTTGTCTTTCTTCTATGCTGCTTCTCAGGGCCTGGCACTTAGTAAGTGCTCAGTAAAAATTTATGGACTGAATCAATAAGTGGTTTTTCTGTGGTTTCGTTTTCCTGTTATCTTGTTTCTCTACTTTGATGTTGCAATTCGTATTATTTTTTTTATTTTGGACTTGAGCATTTAAAGCTGTTTGCTTTGAATGCCTTTTCTGTTTTAGAAGACAACTCTGCCAGGTTGTGGTGCTGTTTATCTACAAGTCAGATGTTTCCCCTCCTCCGCTGGCCATCAGTTTTGGAGCTGGTTTCACTTAGAGGACATCCCTACCTTGTCACTCTGCCATCTTTTCAGAAATTCACAGTCACAGAGAGACTTTTGGGAGGAGAAGAGCTCAAGTATAAAATCCTAACAGTTCATAAACACTAGTCTAAGAGAGGCTCATAGGATTATGGATGATAGAGAGGTATGAGAATTCAAATCAGATCAGACACTTATTTAATGCTTGCTGTGTGCAGGAAACTGTGGTATATGCCACGGGGAACACTTAGAAGTTAAACCGTGCCTCAAAGGGTAAGGGGTGCAGCTGGGAAAGATGCTCTCTGCTCCAGAATGATCACATTTGAGATGACATCAGGACACACAGATGGAGAAATCTTGGAAACAGATGTGATGCCTGGTAAACAGTTGGCTCTGGAGCCCTCAAGGTCCAGCCTTGAGATTTTAAGAATCATCTTAGATGAGAGCAAATATTCAGAATGGTGATTTTAAGGGACAGTAGTGTCCTGTGTCATTAAAATAATTAAAAACGATCATAGTGCAGTTTCACAGAGGTAGAAAGGTAGACCAATGAACGATTTTTAACAATAGCAAACAAGGGTGGAGTATGTCTGGCTCAACTTAACTAGGGCCTAAGAATTTTCCAGTCCCCTTCATGAACACACGTCCTAGAATTGGCAGCCCACCTCCGGCAGGACTGCCCAAACTACTCCATTCCATAAGTGACTGAACATCGACCAAATTGCTAAGCCCTAGAAAGTCGGTTTCCCCAGGTAGCCCAGGTGGGAAACCTGATTCTGTGATCCAAAGACTCAGGACAAACTTTTAACTGAGAGCCTCAGCACACAGAATGGTGTTGGGCCGGACAGCTCTGGGAGAGGAGAGGAAATTCCCCCACGTGGTGAGAAATGAAGGAGGAGTTTGAAACGGAGATGGTCTGGCTCTTCCTGCTTTTTCCTTGAGGTTGCCATCATTACTTTGCATCATGTGCGAGAAAGCAAAGCGCCAGGGTGAGCTCAGACTCAGACATGGTGCATGGATTTGCAATGTTCATAATGAGAGTCAAGGGTGCGTTAAGGGTGATTTGGGCCAAAGACTGTGACAGGCAGCAAACTCCTTAAACCGTCGATAGTCTAGGAGTTAAGTGAGGATAGTAACTTACTGTACAGGGAGGCATTGGTTCCTTAGAAATAAGCAGGTCAGTCCAGGGCAAATTTGGAACAGGGTAAGTACTTATAACTGCACAGATGCGAAGGGGCCAAAGAAGGGAGCATGGGAAAGGCCCAGGGGGGTGGGTGGGTGTCAGGTCCGGGGTGTCTTATAAGAGGAAATTTGTGGGTTTGGGGGTATCCTGGAGTTGAGGGGCACAAACACAAATGATACAGGAGCATGCCAAAGAGAGTCCTCCCTCGCTTCACCTTTTGGCCTCCAGGTCTGTCTTTGGTGATTAGGAAAGGGGCAACCAGGTCAGATGCTGACCGAAGCCATTTGCTCTGAGACCTCCTGCTGGGTTACACCCCTTTCTGCCCTCAAGCAGGTGAGCTCTCCTCATGGCCTGGGGCATTATTTGCTCTCAGCTTGCATTTCTTCACAGGAATGGCCTGGCCCTGTGGGTAGATGTCACCAACATTTTCCCAGGCTTGTGAAAAGGGTCTGTTAGCATTTACAGAGCATTTAGCATCTTCCAGTGCCATGCTCAGTCCCTCATTGGGGATGACCAAGACGACCTTGTTAGTAGGTTCTATACTACGATCCCTCACTACGATCCCTCACCCCCAGGGGTACAGAGAAGTCTCCCAGCTTCCTCAAAGTCACCATGGGGCTGGGACTCAAACTCAGGTCCTTTTCTGCAGAGTCGGTGACTCTAATCACTCCACTGCACAGCCTGCTCATCAGGCACGACCTCCTTCCTGCCAGGTGGTGAGTTGGTTGTTAAAACCCTCAAACCCTGGTGATGCCCTAAGGGCATGTAAATGAGCCATTCTTGATCTTCCCAAATAGTAAATGAATGTTAACAAGCTTTTATGTAAAACTGAACTTTATTGCAATTAAAAAAGAACAAAGACAAGTTGATAAGTGCCTTTAATTACAATGCACCTGCTATTTACATGTAATTATACTTTTATATACAGCTTGAGTAAGGTTCATTACATGTAAACTATAAGATAGGACAAGTTGAACTCCAGCCTTTTGGGAACATTCAGCGTAGAAATACTATGGGCAAAAATACACAGAAAACAAATATCCGTTTCAGTTCCTTAGGTACCATTACTGGATAAATGATCAAGATCTGGCCACAGAAGAGAATTGTAAATATGAATCAAGTTGAAACTTATTCTTAACATGACTAACAGTATTGCTATTATTTAAACCCTAAACATAATTAATAATTGGATCACTAAAAACAACACAATTTCAACTTATATAGCACCTTTCTTACAGAATTCAAAGCATTTGTATTTATATTATCTCATTTGTCCCCATAACATCCCTATGAGGTAGGCAATGGTTGGTATCATTATCCCCATTTTGTATATGGAGAAACTGAGGCACAGAGTAGTTAATCATTTGCTCAAGGTCACACAGTAAAGTCAGTGCTGGAACGGGGACCACAGAGCCATGAGTTGATCTCCAAAACCAATGCTTCTCTTTAAACTAAATTGTCCCCTCTGAGAATTTAATTCAATACTTCAGTTCATTTTTCCAAGACATAAAAACGTGCATTTTTTTCTCCCATAAAAATTGTTGAAATACTATAGGCAAGAAACAAACACTCTGGGGCAGAGGTTAGACTGATACTATGTTCTTCTAGAAAGAGTTTATGGAAGTCTCTTGTTGGTTTTGTTTTTTCATTACTAGGAGTTTCTTTCCCCAGTTTTTAAAAAAGTTAGAATGAAATATATTTGAAAGAATGCACCTAGTTACCTACAAATTATAGCTTTGGTAGCCATATTCTGCCACGCACAAACCAGGTTTATTCCTGAGTTTACAAAGAAAAAAATACCTAAACAATAATTTAAGTCTTTGAGATATTCTTTCTCAATCTTATATACATTTACGGTGTGCTTCTCAAGAGACTCAGAGTGGTAGGCAGGGCATTGGAATAAAATATTTTCCAGAGTCACACACACAGGGGCAGGAAGTCTTTCCCACATCACTTAGTTCAAATTTTACTTCTAATTCCTGCCCTACCCACCCCCTGAGAATCAAATATGTAGTTGGTACTCAGAAAAAAAATAAAGAAAAAATTTTAAGAAGGGTCAAAAATCTGAGGCATACAGGACTCTTTCAAACGCCTGTTGACGTGGATGTAAAATTCAACTTTCCCAACACGTTCCGCGAGCTTCTCCCTGAGAGCAAAGCACTGCTGATGGTGCCGCCAAACCTCCAGGACGTCAGGAGGCAGCCGTGGAGGGGCCCACAGGAGTTAAGTTTCGAGCGCGGCTCAGGAAAGACAGAGAAGCTTATATTTAAAAGCATGAATGCGAAGAAAGCAAGCACACTTACTGGATGGGTCATGATCATCATGTCAGGTTCATCTATGGGTTTGACATTAAAAATACATAAAAACTTGTCAAAGGACTGTTCAAAGACCGACTCAGGCCTTCGGTTCTAGTCTCTTCGCCTAGGGAAAGGCACTGCTGTCTGTCAGGGAAGCCTTTACTACCTAAATGAGGAGCTAAAATTACATTTCTTTTTCTCCTTAAGCTTAAAAACGGAAAAGGAAAGAGTTTGTTTACACTCATTGTTTCCCACTTGTTGAGTTAAAAAAACAAACAAAACAAAATAAAACCAGACGTTGCAACAAGTCGGTTCTGAAATGCAGGCTCCAGGGGACAAGACTGGTCTCTCTGTTTTAGCCTTAACTGTCCTGTGAAGGGTGCCTAACTGATATACTAGATAGGTTTTTAAGAATTAAATGTATACTGAGAATGAACATATCTGTTCTGTTAATTTGGAAAAAAATATTACACTCTAGAATACCCATTCAAATAAGCTATGATGAGAGTGAAGGTTAAAAAAAATCAAAACTAAACACATCCTGGATCCTCAGGTGTGCAGAACGTGAGACCCTCAGCCACTGGATCACCTAACATCACCAAACATCAGGGATTTTGCCTATAAATGGCCAAGTTATGTTCAACATCTGGTAACTCCAGAGTTAGATGCTTGAACGTTCTCATTTCCTTGAGACCTGGAGAGGAGCTCAAACTAGTTATAACTCACGTAACTCATAAGCACTGTTTCTCAGGGGATGGGGTGCAATAGCTACATGGCTAAGAAATGTTACACATAATTTACTCTAGAAGTGATTAATTCTTACAGGAAAGAGTTTGTTTGTTTTTTTTTTCCCCCTCTCAAAATAATCAGTGCCCTTCTACTTTATGGGTAGTTATTGGTCTGCTGTTCCAGGGATTTCCCTCCAATCTCAATACCTTGTAGGGGACCTGTGGGCTTACCTGGTTAGAGCACAGTGCTCATTTTTCTGCATTTGTGAGTCTGAGTCCTCAACAGAATTTTTAAAAAGTTCTTCTCCATGGCTTCTTAGTGCCAACCATTCTCACGAAAGATGTGGGCAAGAGTGTACACGGTTTAGCAAAGTTCATGGCAAATAACACCCAGCATCTGCTTCCCCAGGTGGATCTGTGCCTTATCGAGATAGCCCAAACGTGAGCTGGGCAGAGCTGTCTTCATGCCAGGAGGTGCTGGGGAACGGTTTCCATGCTGCCAGGCCGGGTCTGTGATACTGAAGATTGCAATTGGTATTAGAAAAGAGGGAATGGAATGGACTGGGAGTAGCAGACACAGAGGGGCCGGGGTGGTGCTATGCAAGGTGACAGAAGGTTTAAACACTCGCAATATTGAAAACAACTTTCCCACTCTTTTGTGAATTGGACAATTTGACTATTACACAGACCTTTTTGAGACAATGAGTCACAATGATGCTAACTGTCATGAATTACTTTTGAGTAACAGGAGTACTTTGAAAATGATTGGGACCACCTAACAGATAATATGTCACTTTTTTTGGAAACTATTTTTATGAGGAAAAAAATGCACGCACAGTGAAATGCAAATTCCTATTTGTTTAGTTATATTTCAAACTCCCCCTGAAAACATGAGGCGTGTTAATACAATGCAATATTTAAGAGGTAATGACATTAAACTATTTTACTGTTGCCAATTTAATATACAGAAGTCTGAGGAATGACAATTACCAACCTTTACAATCCATTACACAAGGTGATCTGAGACAGAGCACAATACTTGTTAAAAAACACCCATAGCATATAAGTGGTGAGCAAAGAAAAGTCAAATCTAACTGCATTAAGATAAATGATTACCAAATTGAATGCTTTTAAAAAAATTGCCTTTTTTAAGCAAAAATTGTATTTCTCATTTCATCTGGCATTAAGAAAAATCTGAACTACTATTTCCTAGTTAAATAAAAGAGGAACCTGGAAAAACAATGAAATACTTTATAAATATCAGAGACTGGATGTAAATACAACTTTAAAATGAGCAGTAGGAAAAAAAAAAACCCTTTATGAATGTTTGTTCTCTTCCGGACCATGATTCTATTTAATTTACTATGGTGATTCCAGATGAAGACTCTAATTTAACACAGTTTCTGGATTGATCTCTTCTAGTCAAACACTTTCTAAGTGTATACAACTCATCTAATGATACTGTCAGGAATAATGTATTTAAGAAAAGGTACAACACAGAGCAAGAAAATACTACTACAGGACAAGAAATTTAGACTTCACTGCAAATAAAGCCATATTGGATATTATAGACACATGTTCCTACTTTCACATCAGTCACTTATTAACACTAAACATTACACTTTAACTTTTCCCAGTTACACAGTACAATAAGCCTGCCAAGATTTCCAGGAAATAACCATGGGTACCTACTGTGCTTCCCGCAGCCAAAGCTAAGCTAGCTGGGTACCAGAAATCAACACTTTCAGAAGAATGGCATCACTAGAACACATGGACTCATGGCAACTATTACAAGGAGCATTTACAAAATCCTAAGTCAGTCTTGAACTGAGGCTCTGGGATTCTAGCCATGTTACATCACCATCTCAGAGTGGCTCTTCTGCACCGCATCCTCCACCACTGCCTGTTGATTCTGTGCTAAAATCTCATGGTTTTTGAAGACAGTGAAATAAAATGCCCTCATGTAATAACGGGTCCCTGCTTCTGCCCCCCGGTGGGCAGGTAACCTGGCCATGGCGCCATCCTGGCTCACGGGGCTCTTGTAGCCTTCGGCCAAATCTGTCTTCAAACGCCTGTCTGAAGAGGACACCTATTTTCATTCCCTTTTGTCAGGTTGAATATGTAGGGAGTTGCATGAATAAAACTATTTAAACGTACCACTGTTTTTCAGCTAAGAGAATGATGGACCTAATTTAAAATCTGAATTCATTAACTAGAAAAATTCAATGAGGGCAACTTAAGATGGTTTTCCTGTAATTACAAATGAAAATGATTGGAGAACTGTTTCTTCTATTCTGCTTTTATGACAATAGTCATTACACTAGTAGGATAAACACTCAAAATAAATGACAGGATGTACCCTAATTAATTAAGCACCAGAGCAACTTTATATATATACGTGTGTATATATGGATGTGTGTGTGTATCATATATATACAACATATATATATATATATATTTTTTATATAGTTACTGGTAAAAGTAAGTAAATGCTCTAATTCGAAAAATGAAAATCAAATATGAGAAACAGATCTAGTGACATGCTGAGGTTAAATTTCAGCTCTTTGTGTTTACTTATTGTTAATTTAGCATTCAATTAGAATTAACTCTTGGATTTTAAGGGCAGAGAAATGAGTAATTAGCCTTTTTCCCACAAAGAGTGGTACCCTTAAAAGCTTTCATAGCCCTAATGATGTAATTTAATGCAGGGCAAGAAAAAAAAATTTGTGGCAAACATATTTGCAAAAATTACTTTCTTCTAGAATTTAAAATTTCCTCAGGGCTTCCCTGGTGGCGCAATGGTTGAGAGTCCGCCTGCCAATGCAGGGGACACGGGTTCGTGCCCTGGTCCGGGAAGATCCCACATGCCGCGGAGCGGCTGGGCCCGTGAGCCATGGACGCTGAGCCTGCACGTCCGGAGCCTGTGCTCCACAATGGGAGAGGCCACAACAGTGAGACGCCCGCGTACAGCAAAAAAAAAAAAAAAAAAAATTCCTCAAACATTTCATATAAAACAGGTTACACTTCCCTGCTGACAATATTTGAGAAATAGTAAAAGCAGGACAAAAAAATTCTTCAAAACTTTCAAAATATCTGAATAAAAACAAAGATCCTACTTTTAGGCAAGATAGGTTTATAATTCTGATTTATACGCCAAAAAAAATTTCCTAAACTTATTTTTATCTTTTTGTATAAATTTCACCTACCTAGGTTATTATAGTTGAATGCATACATAATATGGGCGTCAACATTTTAAAGATATAGTAAACTCTTTTTTTTTATAATATCCTTTCATATATTTAAACTATGTAGCATTTAATTCAGGATGCAATGTTTTTTAAAAGAAGCCATAGGCTTCCAACTCAAAGATTCCAGTACACACTTTCAACAAATAAAGTAAAAAGTGATGAAGTTTATGAAATACTGTACTTTAGGGTCCAAACCTTGATGCTACATCAATAAATATACTTCAGTAAGTTACCCAGTGTTCTGAAGAGCAGAGCCATCTCCTGAAGTTTATTCTGCTTCTCCCTCCCCCCCCCCCGCAACACTCACGGACTGTGCTATCACTTATTCTTTTAGGATTTGTTCTGGAGGGCCTTAGAGTTCCTTTCAATACTTTACATCACAACTTATTCTTAGCACAGGTTTTCAAGTCAAGAGAGATATTTCATTGCATACTTTATGGCCATAAGGCATAGCCTTGGTTTTGAAACTTCTCGGGGAATTCTGATAATGAAATTTCAAGATGATATGACTATTTATAAAGAGCTTCTCTACCTAGAAGTGGTTTTACCCTTTAGAGGTCATACCCACTACCCTGGCAATAAGTAAGACATCATGAATTACAACTTTTGAGCAGTCAGGGGCTCATAAGGGACAAGCCTGCAGCACGCACAATGCTAGGTGTGCAGTGTGACATGGCTGTCACCAGATACAAAGCAACCCCACAGAGTCAAGATTGTCGGGTCAAACTCATTCATACTAAGCCATGAGACTCACTGGGCGAACCAGTGCTTACAAAGGATGTGAATTCAGAGAGCATGGGGCCTTGCACCTTCCTGATCAACTTCTCCCTAATCCAAGGTTATTCCGCCATGATCTTTTGATCAATGATGATTGTGCTTATACACATGAAGTCTTCATGGGAGAGACCAGGCTGACTGAAAAATAACGACAACCAACCAATTTACCCCAACCGAGCTACTTTACAATTTCAGAAACATATTACAGAGCAGTCACAAAATCAAGCCATGAATGCAAGGAATGGAAAAAAACATGCCCGGGAGCTGGTCCCTACAATTTTCAAGATGCTTCATCCTCCCAATTGCATTCTTTATCATAATGAGTGAAAACAGCAAGATTATTCAATCTGAAAAGTCACAGATGTCACAGCAGTACAGAATAATTGCCTCTTTTTATTTTTCTTTAGCAGTGCAGGAAAAGCTCCTTTTCTGTAGCCCACACTGCATAATAGCATTTCAACCAGGTTCATTTTAAAATGAAAAGTGAACAAGCTTCCCAATGTTGGCCTTATAAAATCTAGAGAGATGATTAAATTCAAACCAGGCTGAGCTCTCAATCTGAGTTATTTCAGCAACTGATTTTTGTAAAATGAAGGGGAAAAAAAAGTCCCAATAGGCAATTTACATTTGCAAGCACCAGGCTGCAGAATTCATCACCTTTTTCTTAAAAAAGTAGCTAAAACTTAATGAAATTATAATACCTTCTCGAGGTTAATTGTTCACAGTCATCCCTAGTCATATCTTGTTCCTCCTTCCATTTTTAGCATGTCAAATATTTCAGTACTTCCCACCACAAACCATTGAAAATGATCATTTATGTTTATTCCACTTATTTCTCCAGTGAGCCGGATGATTTGACCAGGAGCTCCAAGTACCATTTGAAAAGTCAAGTCTTTAAAAACCTTCAGTGTTTTCAACACTTGGTTAGAAAAAAGGTAACAACTACTCATAATTATCCAGCTTATGTGCTTTATGGTGTCTTTTCAAAATGAGAATACAAATCATTGTACATCAAATCAAAATAGTTAATATACATTTTATCTGGCACTTTCTAGAAATTAGGCATTAAACATAAAATACCTTATAAATTTATATAACAAAAATAAATGTCTATATTTTAATCTCAGATAGATTACCTTAGGGGAGCAGTTCATGTATGAAATCCCGCACGGCTGGTGTGGCAGCGGGGGTCATCAGAAATACACATTCAAGTTCACAGCCCTTGGGAAATGGAAGCCGTGGCTGCCATCCAAACATGTGGTCTGTGTCCCAACATAGAGATTAAGGCTCTCTGTTTTGGAGGAATGAGCTCTGGGCTAAAAGAAGTATGGAAGTACCACGATATTCATTGAAGGCTCTGAAGAGTTTCAAATACTGGGGAAAAAACCATTTTGACTATAAAAATAAAATAAAGCATCTAACAATGACTTCAAGTACTTTGGGAGAGGCTGCTGACATGGACTGCCCGAATCAGAAGGAATGAAGAGCTAAGAAGCTCAAGGGGCATCTCCAATCCTATCCACTGGCCGGTCCCGGTTCCCAGGGGCAGCTGCTTGAAGAGGACTGGGGAGCGGTAGGGAAGCAGCAACCACAATTTCTTACCATTGAAAAACACCCACGTTGAAGGCAAAGGCCAGGCTGGTGGGAGAATATCCTTGGAATGAACCATTATAAATTGGAAGATTTCAAGGGGAAAAAAGCCATTCATTTTACCGTTAGTAGCAGGCAGCAGAAAGGGGAGAGAGGGGAGAGAAACCCGGCCCCTGGGAGTGGCAGTGCTTCAGGCAGGTGAGCGGTGGTTTCGGATGAGTGCTTTTCTTCCTTACTGTGTGGCTTTCTTCACAAAGAGGGTGAGACCACTGACAGCTGGGATCCTTCCAGAGGGTGTGGGTATATGAGGGAGGTGTGCTTGGGTGTGCCCGTGCCCTGGCAGTAGGGTGTGTACCTCACTGTTCTCCAAACTGAGAAGCGGTTTCGGCATCTCCAGTCATCTTCCTTTTCCGGAAGCAGCATATGCAGTGTGGCTGACACTGCTTCTTGTGTTCTGCAACAGCACTGGCCCTGCCGGCTGGTCCTATGCTAGCTGGGTTGTCTTCCGGGCTGCTAGAGCCTGGTGATGTCTCGGCATTGCTGCAGGTCCCTGATGCTCTCGTAGTCATTCTCCTTTGGGAAAAGGCCGTGGTGGCTGTTGGTCTCCGGGGCAGCCTTCTCTTCCTCTCTGTTTAGGGTCTGTATTGCTTCGTAATCTGGTTCGGGCTCCTCGCCGTTGGGCCTCCCTGCTGCTGGAAGAGTGCTGACACTGTTGGGAATTTTCTCCAAGTCTTTAAGAGTAGCATAGAGATCGTTACAGGAAGAGGGCGACCTCAGAGCGGCTCCTTGGATGGAGGTATAGGTGGACTCTGGTGCTTTGAGTGACTGTCCTGATTTGTTCCCTGGCTGTCCTTTTTTATGTACTGATGAATACATTGCCGAGATCTAGAAAACAAAGGGTGAAGTGAATAAACAAGCTTCAAGCTTGATTTCTCCCTCCCCCTTTTTAGTGATAAGCTAGATTTTTAGGACAATGTGTGTGTGTGTGTCCCTTTAAGACTTTATTGAGATATTACTGACACACAACACATATAAGTTTAGGGTGCGCAATAGGATGATTTGATACACATGTTGTGACATGATTACCACGATAAGGTTAGTTAACAACTCCCTTACCGTAATTGCCGTTTTTTTGGTGTGTAGTGATAACATTTCAGTGCTATTCTCTTAACAACTTTCAAGTATATAATACAGTATTGTTAATTCTAGTTGCCATGCTGTACAGGATATTCCCAGAACTTATTACAGATGGAAGTCTGACCCTTTGACTAACATCTCCCCATTTCCCCCAGTCCCCAGCCTGTGGCAACCACCATTCTACTCTATGTCTATGAGTCTGGCTTTTTTAGATTCCACATATATGTGAGAACATACAGTATTTGTCTTTCTCTGTCTGACTTATTTGACTTAGCATAATGCCCTCCGAGTCCATCTATGCTGCTGCAGATGGCAGGATTTTCTTCTTCTTTACGGCTGAATGCTATTCCATTACATACGTACGTACGTGTGTGTGTGTGTATAAAACTACATTTTCTTTATCCGTTCATCCACTGACAGACACGTGGGTTGCTTCCATGACTTGGCTATCGTGAATGCTGCTGCAATGAACATGGGTGTACAGATATCTCTTCAAGACAGTGGTTTCACTTCCTTTGACTATATACCCAGAAATGGGTTCTTCATTATCTGTACTAATCCTGGAGTACGTAACTCCAGGAGAATTATGTGTGTCATCTACAACTTTGTAAGTAGCATAATTCTATGAAAACCAGGTCCTCTCTGGGTCTCCTCATGGGTTTGAGGAGAGCAGGTGGGGTGGGCAGCTCAAGACCCCCAGGACCTGACCACAGATCAGGTTCTATTTGGTTTCTTTATCAGAATGATATTTCACCTGCGAAAAAGGTTTGACTACTTTACAAAAAAGGGTAAAAAAAAAAAGCATTAGACCAGTGATTCTCAAAAGGGTGCGATTCAAACCAGCAGCAGCAGGATCTGGACAGTTATTGGAAAGGCAAACTCTAGGGCACCACCCCAGAACCACTGAGTCACAAACTCTGGTCGGGGGGGTCCCAGATGGGCTGATTCTGATGTCCACTAAAGTGTGAGGACCACTGAACTAGACTGTTTGATCCACTCTTCCTGCACCACAGAGATCTGAAGAGTAGCTCCTGGATTCTGGCTGGTCATATACCTATATCTGTCAGAGTATCGTTTTCCACTTTTTTCTTTTTTTTTTACTTCACTGCATACTATTGGTTAAATATACATTTACAGACGGGGCTACATTTTCTTCAGTGGGAAAACTCTTTCTTATTTGAAACCAGCCAACTCAGAAATAAAGCTAGGAGACAATCAACTTATGGGATGCTCTTTCCTATGGGAAGAGCAGCCTATTTTCCAAGCACACCTACCCAGTCTCACTAATGTACCTCATGTAGCCACACATGTCAGGAGAGATTTCATTTTCTTTGCTAGAAAAATGGATGATAGAGTAAATGGACTGATGAGGAGATTTGGGAGGTATTGTTTTATTGTTAGAAATCATGTTTGGAAATAGGTGAGAATATCCTTCATTACCTGTATTTATCTTTGCCACAGCGATTGATTTATTCAAACACCCAGGAAATAAATGAACATACTTCCTGACAGATGCTTGGCTTTGCAAGTACAGGGAGAGATGTCCTGTTCTCACACATCTCACATACTGTGCAGGAAGCTTCCAGCTGGCCTCCGAAGCTTCTTAAGACACGCCTGCCGCATGTTAACTGGTCATTTGCATGAGGACTTTTCACTACAGGCTGGTGGCTCACATTTGCCAGGCCTTGACGAGCCAAAGGTTTTGAGTCAGAGAAATAATCTTTGGGAAACGCTTGCCCTGTTGATCTGACCCTTTTCAGGACTGTGAAATTAACATTCTCACCTTAGAGGTTTTAGTGAAAATACTACTCTCAAAAGGAAGAATTGGAATTTCTTTCCATTTAGAAAGAATTAAAAAAAAAGCCTCTGCTTTTCATAGGGAGGTGCAAACATATGGAACTTTTTATTTATAAGGCGGTCCAAGCCAAAAATGTGGACAGATTATAAAGGGGTAAGTCATGGATGACAGTGATAAAGGGAACCAGCATCCTAGATATTTATTCCTCACCTTCAGGGGTAACATCAGGAGGACAAACACACCTTTACCTGTGAGAGTAATGAGCGTTGACCCCTCACCACCATTTCTGTTTCTCTTCCCTACTTTCTTCCCCATGGTCCCTGCCATTAATGCCCCCAACTCTTTGTAAGTACTTGGGTCTTCTTGGGCCTTAGAGTCTTTTTTTTTTTTTTTTGATTATAGGCTCTTTCATTAACTTACAACTTAATATTATCTCTGAGCATGAACCAAATGTGCAGAGGTTGTCATTTGAAATTTGAACTCTTATCAACGTTTCTCAAGTCTTCTAATATTCCTTTTGAATATTTGTCTCCTATGACTATTATTTTTATTTTGTATATAAATAAAAGGTTTCTCTTCAAGCCCCCTTGCTATTTAGCTTTGCAATTTTTCTCTTTAAAATCTTTCATCATTATTATTTGGTCTGTAAATTGTTATTATGTTCTCATAAACTACTCCATTTTCCCCATTTCTCTCCTTTTTATATTCAACCCTTCCCCCATCATTCTGTTAAATTGGGATAATAGTACTTAAAATTCAGGTCTCAGTTTCAGTCTGGACTGTCTAACATTATATTACATGAATATAAAAATAAATGATTTCCATATTTATTTTTTGTAAATCTTCTTCCTAAAATGAATACACAGGAATCACAGTTCCTTATTCTATGTTAAACATTCATCAGTATAACCAGGTCCTATTTTCAAAAACCACAAACAAATGTAAGATAAGAAGAAAAGTAACTTAAAATTTTACTGCCTCCATTTATTTTAAAGGATTAGTTTCCAGATCTTTTATATTCTATCTTCTTTCCCCCCTTGTTGTTCTGGCCACACGGCTTGTGGGATCTTAGTTCCCTGATCAGGGATTGAACCTGCACCTTCGGCAGTGAAAGCACAGAGTCCTAACCACTGGACCACCAGGGAATTCCCTTATTTCTTATACCAAATGGGATGGCTCCGGGACAGTGAAAAACGCTGGTGGAGGCAAAGGAGCTGCCACAGGCCCTGGTAGGAGGGTCCTGCCTTAGTCTCCTGAGGGGAGGAGGGCCCAGTGGAGATGGAGAGGGGTTGGGGGGTGCATGAAAGTTACTTTGGAGGTGGAACTGAAGGGACTTGTTTCTGACTGCATCTGAGGACAGTGAGGAAAATGGGGTGTTAAGGATGACCCCAGGGTTTTGGCTTGTGCAACCAGGTGGATAGATGGCAGGTCTCTTCCGTGGAGCAGGAGACGTGGAGGGGGTTGGGCAACATCACCTAAGGAAAGCACTTCTGCTCCTTCAACTTTCAATGTGGGATTGTAATGTAGCTTCGTATTTTAATACTCAGAGTCCTATATGGGAGGTGATGTACCAGCATAGGTACATTACTTTTGTACATGTACAAAATTTACTAAGCTAGGCATTCCAGAAAGAGGCTATATGTAGCTAGATAAATTAAGGTGTTCAGCTCTCTCTGAGTCTAGCTTGACATAATAACACAATAAATAGTGGCTTTTACAATTTTAATGCTCACTGAAAGTTTAACCAGTGAATCTTCAGCCCTGGTGCTTGGGAGAATATATCATCCTTTCTTGCTGGTGGCCATGTCTGACTCTACTTCCAAGCTGGACGTGTACTTCCTGAAGTTCCCTGCTCTCAGCCTCCCAAATTCCTAAGCCCTTCTCCCTCTGTCTCCCAGCCTGGAGCAAATTCTCTACACCCACCTGCTCCAATTTCCTGTATTTTCCAACCCACTATTAACTTCCTTCTAAAGGGGACTTTCTGACAGATTAAAGCTCCCACACTTATCATTTCTCTCTTCTCATTCCTATTTTCTCCCCTCCCCTTTCTATTTTTCTCTGCTCCTTCTTCCCTACTGAGTTTTCTTTACTTAGCTGACCTGTTCATCTTGTCCTCTTTCTTGTCTTACCATCTGCCATTCACTCTCTCTGAGCCATTATAAAGGCAACATCCCCAAACCCTGATCTCCAACCATATGCTTAAGAGTGTACTTTAGCTTTCTCAGATGAAGGGTAACATGACAGTGCATTTACTCAAGGAAGGAGGTGCTATTCTCTATTGCATGAGCTTTCTGGTTACTTAAAAACTAACAGGGCTTCCCTGGTGGCGCAGCGGTTGAGAGTCCGCCTGCCGATGCAGGGGACACGGGTTTGTGCCCCGGTCCGGGAGGATCCCACATGCTGCGGAGCGGCTGGGCCCGTGAGCCATGGCCGCTGAGCCTGCGCGTCTGGAGCCTGTGCTCCACAATGGGAGAGGCCACAACAGTGAGAGGCCCGCGTACCGCAGAAAAAAATAAAATAAAATAAAAACTAACAAAACTCACCTCTTCTTCTGTGAGAGTTGGGTCTTCTTCCCGGGACTTGTATGACAACGAACTAAATCTCTGTTAGAAGAAACATAAACCAGGAGAAGGGAGTTTGAAGTGAATAATCGAACCTTTCTCGTGCATATGCTTTGATCCATCTATCTACAAAAATGTTTTCAAATGATATTTGGAGAAGAAATTATTTTCTACAAAGAAATTATATAAAGCACCTGAGGAATAAACACATAAAAAGTATGTTTTTGCATACCCAGTAGTATTACACTTAGAGAAACTTCTTCTGATTGTTTATTTGAATCTGCAGGTACAAATAAAACGAACAGTTATGTGGACTACTGTTTCAATTCCTAATTGTCACTGACGGATTGATCATCAATGAGAGATGGAAAGCCTGATGAAGAAAAAAACATGGTTTCTTTATCAAGTGCCGGAATTTTATATTTCTACAGCTTGCCTGAGCCATCAGGAAGGTTCTTAAGTCATCTGGAAACTTTTCACAGCTAGTGGAGAACTCAGCTCACATTTTGTCACTTGCTACCTGCCTCATTTCTCAATGATTTTGGTTCCTGCTTCACTGATTCTGTCTCTAACGCATCTCCTGCCTGAATTCTTGCTGACTGCAACAGACAGGGATCCTTCCAAGCCTGCCCCAGCTCCCTGACCTCCCTGCCCCGACCCTGTCCTCCCGCCAACCTCACTGTTCACTCTCCCAGCTACACCTCGGACTTCTCTTACCCTAAACAGACACCCCACCATCCCATCTCCTTGCAGCCCCCTTCAGACCAGCACTCCTCGATCAAGCCCACTCCTCCCATAACCCAGTTCCTACAATCCTGCAAGACGTTTTTGCGTGTGTCGCTTCTCCTGGGCGTCCTTCCTTTCTGCCCTGTCAAACTCCACTGCCATACATTAAATACTCCACTCCCTTCTTGGTCCCTGGTGAACTCATCCCTCGAGTGAGTCCTTAATGCTGCTCTGAATCCTTCTATCACCTGGTCCCTGGTCTCCTAGCTCCCTGCTTCACGTCTTCCCCTCTCTTCCCAAACTCCCAACACCTCTTCACCCATCCTCATGCTTAGCTGAGGACCTTGAGAAAACTGAAGGAAACAAGAGAAATTTCTATAAACTTTTACCTCCCCCACCTGCCCCCAGTCTCTGCATTCATGTACCTTCCTTCCCGTCAGTTGCCACAGATGAACTTTCCATGCTTCTCCTTAATGATCCCTTCCTCCTGTGCACTAGATTCTGACCCCTCACACTCACTCGTGGATATAAGCTCCAGTGTCTCTCCCATTTTGTCTACATCATCAGCTTTCCCCTCTCTGTGGAGTCATCTCCATTCATGTAAAAACAGGCTATTTATTCTAAAAACAAAACCAATCCACCCTTCTTCCAGTTCTATTACTCCTTCCTTTATAGTAAAACCTCTTAAGAGAGCTCTCTGAAAAAGTCACTCAAATAATTTGTCTCTTCCTATTCTCTCTCTAAACCCATTTCTGCCTCTTCACTTCAGTGAAACTGCTCTTGTCAAGGACACTGAAGTCCACGTGTAACTATCTCTCCCGACCCACCTGCTGCATCTGATGCAGGGGTCACTCCTTCCTCCCTGAAAGTTTGCCCTTGGCTTCTAGGACACTGTACTTCCCTGTTTTTTCTCTCCTGTTTTGCTCTCTTCTGCTGGCTCCTTTTCTTTCCTGGACCTGTGTCCTTGGAACTCTTCTAGTTCCCGTTCACACGTACTCATGCAGTGATCTCATCTGATGTCAGCTTTGAGAACAAATTTCTGCTGCTGACTTCTAAATGTACAAACCCAGCCCAGGCCCTTCCTCGTAAACCTGCTCCCCCATCCAGCTGTTCTCTGACATCTCTACTTGGATGACCAATATCTATCTCAAAGCAATAGGTCCAGCCCGGAACACCCTAGTTGCCTCCCAAGTCTGCTCTGCCTACAAGTCCTTTCTACTTCAGTTAATGGCAATTCCATCCTTCCAGTGGCTCAGGCCAAAGCCTGGACTCATTGCTTCCTCTTTCTTTCATCCACATCTGGTCTATCAACAAATCTCCTGGCTCTAGTTTAGCGTCTCCCGTTACTCCTGCCCTGATCCGAGCCACCTTGTCTCTCGTCTTGCTTATTAGAATGGCTACCCAACTGGTCTCCTTGCTTCCATTCTTCATAGGTGAATTTCAGCTCCATCAGAGCAATCCTTTCCTAACCCAGATTAAGCCACCATTCTTCTGCTCAAGGCTTTCGAGTGACCCCATTTTATTCAGATTATAAGCCAAGGCCATACAGGGTTGGGGCCCTGCTTACCTTTCTTCCTACTTCTCTTAGCGTTGCTCTCCCCTCTCCAGCCACGCCCACCCCTTCTTCTTTCCTGGAGAGGCCGGGCCTGCTCTGGCCTCAGGACCTTCACACTGGCCATCCCCTCTGCTTCATTTGCTCTGTCCCCCAAAATGTGTACCAACTCACTCTCTCACCTCCTTTAACATTTTGTTCAAATGCCCCTTCACAGCCAGGCATACCCTGACCACTCTATTCACAATTGTGCTCCCACCCAACTTTCCTAAACCCCCGGATTCTGTTCTAATTTTTTCCTTTAAACTTTAAAGCCTTCTAAGATACCACATACTTTACTTACATACGTATTTATGTCTCTATCTCCTTACTTAAATGTAAGCTCCATGGGGGCAGAGATTTTTGTTCATTTATATGTTTTGTTCACTAGTGTATTCTCAGCACCTGTATCATGTGGCTTATAGTAGGTGCTCATTAAAATCTTTTTGCAAATAAATGCATGAATATTAAACATTTCAAGTTCTCCCAATCACTTAAAATTAGGATGGTTTATATGGAGATGATGGATTATTCATTCCTGTATTACTATAGAAAGGTAATCTGCTTCCCAGATGGCTATTACCAGTTTCTAATGTGACATCTGCAGAATTGCTTACTTAGCAGTGGTTAGACAGTCAACTCTCTTACCTTTCAAATGCTTGTAAGTAAAGAAGTTTTAACTGCTTTAGGCAGCATAAATGTCACATTAGTTTTATTATCTTTAGTTATACAAAGGGCAAAAAAAATAGGCTGCATTTTACAAATATATTCATAAATACTTTACTGAGGCTCTCAATGGCTCACTTTACGGGTAAAACGAAAAGCTGAAATGCATTCAGAGAACACGACACAGAATGACTCATTGGCATAAGCTATATAACCCTAGCCGGACCTCCCCTTTTGATCATGAACAGCACAAGTTTTTCAAGGCTACTACTGACTGACTAGTCCCTACTTGGCCTTCCTACCAAAACTTGAGAAGAGAACCCTACTTTTTTCTCTGCAGAGAATGGAAATTAGGTATTAGTTGCCTAAAGAAGGTAGGGCCTAGTTTAAATCCCAAGGAAATGCTGACAGCTGGAGATGTGAATTCCAAGCTATGGTGGCTCAGACATCAGCTTATGAGACACCCACAGAGAAGGCTCGGGGATTGTTAGTACATTTTAGAGCTCTGTTGAATAGTTACACTTAAGAGCTACAGGGTAGTATTTAGAAATTGTCACAAAATAAAATCTCTTACTTGATTCCTATAAAAGTCTATACATAATCAGATACACCCAGTGGCACCTGTGAACTGGTCCCCTCTGCCTGTTCTTGTGCTCTGATTTCTGGGACTCAGGGAGCGGGGAGATCACCCCACTGCCTGGGGTGGTAACAAGTGGAAGAGGCTAAGTAGGTGGCAAAGAGTCTCGTCTTTCCAGTTCTTGGTCTTCACCATGAAGAAAATAATACTTGCCCCCATTAGACATGATGCAAAAACTGGAAGATATCCAAGGAAGGTGCCAAGAGAGAAATATTTTGTAAATATGAGCTTTCAGTATTTTATTACTTGGAGGGGGGAACAAAAATTCAAACACAGCTTCCACTAAACAGCTTCCACCATTCAATGCACGTGAAGGTGCTAGCATGTATTCCTTAGAACAACGTGCATGCAAAAGCCCCAGGATCAGCTAGACGCCCAATTGTGACAAAAGCTCTGAAACCGATGTGCCGGAGCCCACCTTGTTGGCTTCACTGGTCCCCTCGGCGGCCCCTTCTTCTCCTGTTTTACTCTCTGCCTGTTCCTGAAGGTTTTCATTTTCATCCAGAAGTTTAATGGGGACAGGGGGTGGCGCCTCCTCCTCTGGATCCCATGCATTTCCAAGAATACTCTCTGCATTAGCGCTTTGTCGACACTTTCTGTTTCTGTCCACGGAGGCATATTCGGCAAAGTCTGTTTTGCCACTGGCCTGGGGCCCCGGAAGCTCTTTCACAGTGGAAGTTGACTTCGACCTGCTGCTGTGGCCTCCAGCTGAGTGGGCGGCGGCCGTCACCTCCTTAATTTCTTTCACAGTTTCATACAAGCAGTCCTCCACCATATTTTCTTGTGAGGCACTGTCCTTGAGCACTTCATACGGCCCCTCCATCCCCAGACCCTGGTCCCCGTCCGCGCTTTCTCCATTGAGCATCGTGTCCACGTCGCTCTCAGGAGGAATTCTGGGCAACTCCCGGCTCTGATGACATTTTGGCTTCCCTGTGCTGTCCTGGGAGTCCAGCAGATCTGAAGCTGACGTCTGGACTTCCTCGTAATGCTGCGTGCAGGTCACGGTGCTGTCTTCTGAAAGAACTAAAGCAGTGGGAGTATTAAAAGTGGAGAAAGACAATTTCTGACATAATTATTACAGTGAATCAGATGATGTCAAGTTAGGTGAAATCAAAGTGCTGGCTTTTTATTTGATTTGAGGCTGTAAATTACAGATGTTTTGACTGTTAGTGGATATTCTTATTTCAATCACAGTGTAAACTAAAGCCATCCATTACATCTTTCCAATAGAGTATTTAATAAATTGTCTTGGCTATCAATTTGGGTCACAGTTATACAGTCTTTGTTGTTACTCCTGATGGGCTCCTTGTAGGCAGTGTCCAAAGTGACCAGAGGATGAAAGTGACACTGCATAGGACCAAACTGTGGGAGGCTGGGCTCCAAGGGGGGGGGCGTGTGTGGCAGCCACTCTCCCGGCCCTACTGGCCTCCTCTCGTGTGGAGGGAATACCTGGGAGCCATCCCCCTTCACAGGTCACTTTGTTTGAGAGACGATGGAAAAAATGGGGCAAAAATGTGCCCAGAGCAGTATCCCAAAGGGTCCGCCTACCCTGTGCCTTTTTAAAGCTCTTCCTTCCATCTTACTGGCTCCCGGTGCCAACATTTTTACCTCAAATTAGAAAATTCGTATTTGAAATTCTTATATTGCTACAGAAACGTTACTGCGTGGAGCCATTCAGTCATCCCTTTATCAAATGTTTTTTGAGTGCCTCCTAGGTGCCAGGGATGGTTGAAGTGCTGGGGAGACATCATTCATCAATGAGGTCCAATGAGTCCTGCCCTTTGGGTACTTACACTGCAGTGAGCCAGTTATTAAATTACTGTCTCTCCACTGTATGTTCTTTATATACTATATATTCTCCATATATATATAAGTGTATGTATATAATATATATATTATATAAAGTAAATATATACTTAAACATGTATTTGTACTGGTATATTCATATATATTTACTTTATATAATATATATATTCCTTATATATCGTATATATTCTTTACATCTGTGTGTGGGTTTATAACTTAGTTTTTCTTTTTTGATGTTGGGGGTAGGAGTTTATTTATGTATTTATTTATTTTTGGCTGTGTTGGGTCTTCGTTTGTGTGCGAGGGCTTTCTCTAGTTGTGGCAAGCGGGGGTCACTCTTCATCGCCGCGCGCGGGCCTCTCACTACCGCAGCCTCTCGTTGCGGAGCACAGGCTCCAGACGCGCAGGCTCAGGAGTTGTGGCTCACGGGCCCAGTTGCTCTGCGGCATGTGGGATCCTCCCAGACCAGGGCTCGAACCCGTGTCCCCTGCATTAGCAGGCAGATTCTCAACCACTGCGCCACCAGGGAAGCCCTATAACTTACAGTTTTTAACCCACTTGTTTTTACTGACTAGACTGGGATTCTCTAAGACCCTGGAGTCCAGAACAGTGTCTAATGCATGGTTGACTCCACTGTTTTTACATGAAAATCTAAATGAGTGAAAGAAGAAATAAAGTGCTCACCTCTTATCCTGAAAAAAAAAAAGAAAGACTACTTCTCTTTAGGGGGACTAGAAATAGTGTCCCTGAAGAGTATCTCGGGAAAATGATAATGGAACCCTCGTCGGAAGTTACCATCACTACCCACTGTGTTCTAAATACTTGATCATCAAGGAGGGGGTGAACTTTTGCCCTCTGGAATTAGATGTCTGTGTCACGGTGGACAGAGAACGGGCACTGGAGTCTGAAGCCTCCGGTGTCAATCCTGACTGTCCCCCAGTTTCCTTGTCTGTAACTGGAGGTAAGAGGAGGATTTGCTACCCCAGGTGAAAGCGCTCTGTAAACTGGGGAGTGGAAATGTGGCTGTGACTTTGGTGAGCGAGCACATCCTGGGTGTGAAACAGGCAGCATGCAGAGTGGTCCTAAGGGTGTACCCAGGAGTCAGATCAAGGGTTCAAATTACAGATCCTCAGAGCACTGACCATAACATCTTAGGCAAGTGATTAACCTCTCTGTGCCAGACAGAATAATGCCCACCCCCCACCCACCCCCCACTCAGGAACCCACGTCCTCTTCCCTGGATCCTGTGTGTTTCATTCCACGGCAAGGGAGGAACTAAGGATACTGATGAACTATTAGCTGATCTTGAGATGGGGAGGAAAACTGGGACATCCAGGTGGGCGCGGTGTAATTCTGAGGGTCCTCATCAGTGAAAGATGGAGGCAGGAGAGTCGGAGAGAGACTTGAAGATGGAGGGAAGTCCAGGACCAAGGAATGCAGGAGGCTTCTAGCAGCGGAAGCAGGCAAGGAACTAGGTTCTTCCCTATAGAGCCTTGGGGAAGGAGCGCAGCCCCGCTGGTACTTTGATTTTAGCCCAGGGAGACCCGGTTCAGACTCTGACCTCCAGAGCTACAAGCTCATAAACCTGTGTTCTTCTAAGGCACTAAGTTTGTGGTAATTTGTTGCAGCAGCAATGTTTCAGTTGCCTCATCTGTAAATTGTGAAGAGTAATAATCCCTATCCTACAGGGCAGTCATATTAGTCATGGTAATCTTATAGTTGCTAGCATAAACGGGTTAGCAAAAATGAGTTAGTACAGGGCTTCCCTGGTGGCGCAGTGGTTGAGAGTCCGCCTGCCGATGCAGGGGACACGGGCTCGTGCCCCAGTCCGGGAAGATCCCATGTGCCGCCGAGCGGCTGGGCCCCGTGAGCCATGGCCGCTGAGCCTGCGCGTCCGGAGCCTGTGCTCCGCGACGGGAGGGGCCACAACAGTGAGAGGCCTGCGTACCGCAAAAAAAAAAAAAAATGAGTTAGTACACATACAAATCTTAGAACAATGGCACACAGAAGCCAATTCATAGATATTAACTTTTCATCCAAAAGAGATTTTTTTGGCTAAAACTGGTAGTAATACAAAAGGTAAGCAAGAACAAACACATTTCCTAGTTTTTGAGCCACATTTTCTGAAACCCAGCCCTTTCTCAGGTGATGAGGCCTGCGTGGATAGCTGGTATTTCTGCAGAACTTACTGTCACCGTTGGTGAGTGCCCCATTCTGTTCGCTGCTGGCAGGCGCGTCTGTGGCCAGGCTGGTAACTGAACGGCTGAACATCTCCTTGTCGGAAGGCTGCAGAAACAAAGGCACCAAAGGGATCAGACTGCGTGGCAGAGGGGAATATCCACGGCTTTTTTATGGGGGGGGGGTATTTTTAAAAATTCATTCATTCATTCATTCATTATTTTTGCCAAACCGCACAGCTTGTGGGATCTTAGTTCCCCAACCAGGGATTGAACCCTGGCCCTCGGCAGTGAGAGTGCAGAGTCCTAACCACTGGACCGCCAGGGAATTCCCTCCATGGTTTCTTCTAAAAATGAAAACAACAACAACAAAAGCCAAACCCACTGCTTAGATTTAAGTTAAGCGAAACGAAATAAAATCGAGTTCCTCAGTTGCACTAGTCACATTTCAAGGGCTCAGTGGCTACACGGGGACAGTGGTTACCCTATCAGTGCAGTTACAGAACACTGCCATCTTGGTGGAAGGTTCTATTGGACAGGACCGTCCTGGGAATCTTCCGAGGCCTCCATCCACAGAGCTTCCCATCTGGTAATCACAAATAGGCTATGGTAGATTGTGGGGTCTCAGGTCCCTTATCTCAAGGTGAGGGGGACCAGAAGCCCCAGGGCTGATTGGAATCAGCTCCAGCAGAGAGAGGCCTCATCCTTCTACCAGGGGTGCCGGAAACGTTACCCTTTTTAAGGGTGTGTCATGCCGAGGAAAACATCACCTTTGTCATCTGAAGGGAAGGGACTTAAATCTGATCAAAGATAATGTCACTGATGTCTGAGACTCAGAAATCAGCCAAGTCTCTGCTTCAAGGTTCACCGAAACCATCATATGCTAAAAAGTGGTTTGCAAACCTTTCTTATTCTCACAAACAAATTCAGGACGCTTGGAGGGAAGAATGGCATTGATTGTTTTCTACTGGGCTAGCCTGGGTGGACAGTACATGGCATGATACGCCAGGCTGAGCTACAGCTATGACTAGCCTGAAGGTAAGGTGGTAGCTCACATATTTCTTGAAATATGCAGCTGGTCCCACGTAGCAGCTGAATCACTGCTGATATGATCTGTTCCCCCTTCCCACTCATGGAATGCACAGCCTGCGGGACCCAGGAGGCCACACTGGACCATGTTCCAGGAGTCCACCTGGGAAGTTCTGATGTAAACAGCACCACAGCCGTGGCTAGCTGGCTTCACAAATTCTCTGACTTGGGAACCAAGTAATAATAACAGAGAGCAAATAGCTCATGCTGCGTCATGATCCAAACATGTACCGGGAGTCAGCTTTTTCAATCCCATGCAGCCCGTGAGATGGGTCGTTGTGTTAGGTTGCAGGGCGGCTGCAGACACAGGTGCCCATTCACAGGAATGACGTCACCCCTGGGCAGGAGTCAGCTGTGGGGGGAGGATGGCTCCCAGGTGGGCCCCTAACAGCACAATCAATCCGTCACAGCTGAATTATCATACTCTAGGCTCTCACCACCATTTCTTCTCTTAGCTTCTACGAGAAAACGCCTGCTGGAGCTCCAAACACAGAAGCCAGGAGGGAGCCTCTCTCTCACTGAAGCTTCAGATGCAGCCAGGGGACACCCCCACCCCCCCGCCGGCCTTTTTCACCTTAGGATTTAAAGGCAGCTCCTCTGGGGCTGTGGAGCGATCGGTGTGTGTCGGGGTGCGTGTCAGCCGGGATCAGGGGTGGGGAAGGCTGGCTGACTACAAGGACTTGTCAGGCCTGGGATGGAGACACTGCAAGTTGTACAAAATTGAGAAGCTAGGATAGAAGCTTGTAAAGAGAGCCATGTGATGTGTGTGTGCAGACGTGCACTCCCTTGCTCACACATTCATATGAGAGAGGCTATGGGGGGCTATTAATGAAGGACACTGCACACGGAGAGTCAGATCTTCCTTTTATCCACCCGCCACTCTCTTCCCGTCTCACCCAGGGCTGCTGCTGGGCGTTAGCAGAAGAGCAGGAACCAAAGGTCTAGAGCAGAGGTTCTCACACCTGAGCAAACATCAGGATGACCCGAGGGCTTGCTCCCAGCTTCCCCCCCCCCCCCCCCCCCCCGAGTCTTCTAACAAATGGAGATGGAAGCCTCTCCCCCAGCCCCGCGTCTCCTGCCAACGGGCACCAAGGAGAGTGGCAAGGGGAAGAAAGCTGGGGCCTGGGACCTGCACGTGGGAGAAGCCACAGTGGAGGTACCACCTCCTCTCCCACCCGCCCTCTGGGTGCCTGCACGGCGGCAATCCAACAGAGGCGCTGGGGGCAGGTGAGAAGCGGGGATACAGACAACCAGAGACTGCAGTGAGGGTGACAATGGGGGGAAAAAAGGAGGGGGGTGATGAGAAACCCGGAAAGCAGTGGAGGGTGTGTGTGTGTGTGAGCGTCTGCATACAGAGATGAAAGGAAGGAACTCCCCAGGGGCTCCCAGGAGAGGAGGGCTGACCACTTCGCTGCCTGGCCTGGAAGAATCCCTCAGTCATAGGGCAGGGAGCCCGGGACGCCTCCTGGGTGAGCTTGGAACCTGGCTGCTGGCTGAGTGTTTCATACCAGACCTCACATGACATGCTTCACTCATCCATCTTTCCTTTTTGCCCCTTCCTCCTCCAACCAGTTTATGCCTGATCTTGAGAAATTACGTCTGGGACAGGAAGCATCTTCACCATTTCAGCCTTGTGAATATGCGGGCGGCCCCATCCCCAGCTGCTGGAATTGCTCAGCCAGTTAAAGGCATGGGCCTGAGGGGAGAGAATGAGGTGGGACCAGGACGCCCAGGCTGCTCCCTATCTGGGTGAATCCAAGAGGCCTGCGGGGCTCGATCAGGACCCTTTAGGACACAGCGCAATAGAACCCAGCAAGGCCACGCCACATCTGGGATGCTGGGGGTCCCAGGCTCCAGTAAGCTTAATGATCAGCTGTTACAGGTTGAATTTTATCATTTCCAAATTCCTATATTGAAGTCCGAACTCTCAATACCTTAGACTTGGCCTCATTTGGAAACAGGATCGTTGCAGATGAAACATGTTAAGATGAGGTCATATCGGAGGCCTTAAAAAAAGGGTAACTTGGGCAGAGACAGACACACATAGAGGGAAGACGGTGTAAAGAGTCACAGGGAGAACACAATGTAAGGGCAGAGATCTTCAAACCAAGCATCACTAAAGGCTGCCAACCGACCACGGTGAGCTAGGAGAGCGGCCTGTAACAGATGCGCTCTCACAGCTCTCGGAAGGAACCAACCCTGCTGCCACCTTGATCTCAAATTTCTAGCCTCTAGAACTGTGACATGATAAATTTATTAAGCCACTCAGTTTATGGTCCTTTGTTATGACAGTTCTAGCCAACTAATACACCGGCTGGAGCCCAGCAGAGGCAAAACAGAAACGTCCCTGCAGTAGGTTGGAACTATCTGAGGATCCTTCTAGCAGCGGCACAATTGCATCCGTTTCAGAAGCTCTCCCAACAACCTGGCTAATTGCACGGGCCTCTAGCCACGGTGAATATAAACCTGCAGCAAGAGGACACGGCCCAGGCAGCCAGTTAACTCTGGCTGAATTGCTTCCCTGGGCTTCCTTCAGGCTGTAAGCTTGTGGGGACCTGCTTTAGATAAGCGGCTGATGCTTTAAAGCTCGTGCACGCGTGCTCACCACGTTCATCAGGTTCTCATGGTCTCCGCTGTGCTGTCTCGGCTTCTTTTCTCTGAAACAGAAAAGGAAACATGGCTGTAACATCCAACGTGCTATCTAAAATCAAACATACACTCCCCTTTCCTATTCAAACTTTGATCAACACTTAAATAATCTCTCTTTTAAAAACCGAGTTTATTTTGCCAAGGAAGCAGAAGCCGGACAATTCACTCTACCCCTTCTCTGCAGGCAGCAGGGTCCGAGGGAGTCAAGTCCCAGCAAGGGGCTGGTCACCTCTCTGGACCTCCCCTTCCTCCAGGAGTAGAAAATACAAGTGAACAAGAGGACTGGGGCAGTTTCCTGAGTAGAAACTGTTTATATCTAGAATGCTGGAATGAGTTTTTTGTTTTTGTTTCTTGTAAGGAAATCAACAATTCTCATCTCTTCATCTTTCTTAATTCAGTCTTTGCAAAGTCACACACTGCCATGGGATTGAGAAAATAAAGAAAATACAACTTTTGGCTTGTCGGGGAGGTTACATGCCCTCAGGATGAGTCATATGTACTTGCAGTCTATGGAAAAGTCCATCCAGTAAAAATAGAATTTATTTTTACTCGGGACAGGCTAAAGAAAGCCATCAGTACTAGAGGCTACCTTTCCCATAGATGTACAAGGCAACAGTGACACCTAGTGGTGGCATAAATAATTGCAAGGCAGGCCCTCCCAGGCCCAGGGGAACAAACACTCCTCTAGCTTTGCTTCTATTTTTTCATCTTTCTGGCCAGTTAGTCTCTCTCCCAGCCCTGGAGTCCTGGATCCAAACCGGGCAGGGATTTGGAGGCTACTTGTGTTCAGGGAGTCTGGATTTTCCCCTCCTGACAGAGACTTTAGGGCACAAAGCCACATCCAGACTTTTAAATGACACTTGTCCAGTCTCTTCCAAGGTTATTGAGAAGAGTTTGAAAGAAGGCTGGCTGTCAGCTGGTCTGCACTGGCTCCCAGCAGCAGCCCTCACCAGAGAGCTGCATATGTTGTAACAATGTCTGAACACCTGGAAAATCACTCCTGGTTAGAAAGGACTTTGCTTCTCTCCAAGCAAAGACCTCCTTTTCTTCTTGGTGGAGGGGTTACACATTTTATTGTATATGAGGGAGACAAAGAAGGAGGAAGAGGGGAGGGGAAAGAGAGAGAGAGAGAGAGAAGTATAATTCTAAAATAAGACAAGATGGTTATTTCATACACAGAATGTTTCTCTTGTAGTAAAAATGAATGTTTCTTAAACTGCAGCTCTAGATAACAAATCCTTAATAAAATGACCCCTGAAAGCTACAGAGCAGCAAAAATTCTCAGTAACTCTCAAATGGCAGCAAAAAGAATATCTTTAATGCACATGATACTTAGATTTCCAAATGTCCACAGATGGAAAAAGAAAATACACATTTGGACAAGGGTGTGCTCATAAGAATAGCAAAAATTTCCTTCTGGGAAGTTTCATACATAAGGGCTCTTCCAGTTGCTCCCCAGGAAAATCAGATGTGGCTTTTCACTGAACTAATAAAAAGTGTCCTGAGCTCCTTTGCGGCTGAGAAGTCAGTTCACCTAACATACGAGTTTCTGGGAATGTCTATGCAGTGAGATGCCATTCATCACAGGCTTTTTATATAGAAAGTCTTCTGGGAACATGTTATTTTAAGGCTCTAGTAGACATGCACTGCTCTCACCTGTCACAACTGGAGCACAGAAAGATGAGGAAGGTGATGAGGAAGAAGGTGGCCACAGCTGCCAGGCTTCCCCACAGGGTGATCTGCATTTGTCCCCCACTCAGCAAGCTTCCCTCGGGTCCCATGGTGGGTGGGAAGTGGCACAGGCTGCTGGATTTGGTCAGTCCTTCCAAGGTGGCGACATGGGGGCAGAGGGCTGCGTCCTCCTGCAGAGAGAACAACGTGTGTTTTGACAACTTCTCGCGTGAAATGCCAGAATCTGGGAGTAAGCTCCTGGTGGGGCATGGGGTGAAGGGAGCGTTTGAGTAGAGCAGGGAAGTGTGTGCAGACTGCAGGTGTGTGCAGGTGTGTGCAGGTGGACTCGACTTGGAACTCCCTCTGGGCAAGTTTCCCTCTGTGGTCCAGGCCTTTGTTTTCTCACCCAAAACGCAAAGCAGGAGCGTGCAATGCCTAGCACAGTGTTTGAGGCAACGGATGTCTTGTTATTTGGATATGTTTGGGGATAGATTCTTAACGTCTTCAAATAAATTTAAGACTCCAAGTACTCCACAGCAAATGAATAAATGCTTATTTGGTTTCTCTTGCATTTTTTTTTTGTTGTTGTTTTTTGCCAGAACAGTGTAAAGCATTTATTACAGCTTTCACAAAAATGCAGTTTGCATCTTTCCCACCTGAATCCCCAACTCCCCAAACCTGCTTCTCTTCGAGAAGGTTTACGGTCAATACAATTAACGAAATGGATTGTCTTTACATTCACCTTCGTAAATAGTTAACTGTTCTGAGTATGTGACTTTATATTCAGGGCTGGCTTTCACTAAACTTTGTAAGCACTCAATAAGTCCACTTTCAAAGGGATGGCTGAAAGTCTACGCTAAGAATGCATCACCGGCAGCAAATAAGACCTATTTATAAACAACTACAAACTGAGTATAAAAGCTAGGACGTATTAGTACCCTGCATGTGCCTGGGACTCGAGTGCTTTCCTCATTCGATCACTGCCACCAGTCTGTGAAGAAGGCACGGCTAATCCCCATTTTTCAGAGACACTAAGTTCCCCGACGGTGTCACCGCGCTCAGTGGCAGCGGAGGATATGAGACCAGCCAGCTCTGACTCCAGCGCCAGTGGTCTCAGCCCCTAGAGGGCGCTCCTTCTCACTGGGGGCTACCGCTTCCCGGTCCAGCTACAGGGCTTCTAAATGAAAATGGCCAATGAGTTCTGTGAAATATTTTAAGACTTTTAGATTTTGAAAAACAGAGTGCTCTATCAAATTAACGATGATCTCTCGTCAGAGATTGCCTTGTTTAAAGAACATTTGCTTTGCTCAATTCTAGAACATTCTCACTTAAACAGCCTTTAACTTCATCTCAAGATTCATGAATAAAGTCAGCAAATAAATATTTTTGTCATGATAATTCATCAAAACTCAAAACATTTTTTTTTTTTCTTGAAAAAGACGGTTGATGTTTGCATTTCCATTTGCTTCCGTAACAGACCTGGGACTCTATGTAGCCATCACTGAGCATCTACATCAAGTCAGCACCTGGGGAGCTTAACGGAGTCACTGTGGTTCAACGAGACCAGATTTTCTCCAGGTGAAACATTTCACATTTATTTCAATATTTAAAGGTGACAAATAATAAAAAGCTGGAGAAAAAGAAATTTTATCTACAAGCATGCAGAGAGATTTCTAGATGAAATCGATTGCTTTCTATATGGCCTTGAACCAACATGAACACTTCTTAATGCTCTATAAATAAATAAATGACAACTTCCTGGGTAATACAGAACTTCTTTCTTCCTGTGTTGGTTATATATTATACCTATAAACACTACATGCATACAGGAATGGATGGTCAAATTGCCTTTGCCTGTTTGCCCCTGGACAGCTATAACTGAGTGAAAATCGCCAGCACTTCTCTTATGATTTGTTGAAACAATGAATAATTCACTTTTAAACTTAGACTACAAACTGGCACCACAAGTTATTAAAATACATTCAAGCACATGAATGACGGGGACCTCTGAATATATATGAAATAAATTTTTATATCCAGATCCAGGTTCATGCATAACACATTTCAGGAGGTACAAACAAAAGATATCTGTTGTGCAGGCGTTTGTGTGTTCCTTCTTTCCTTTGCTCATTCATTCGTACAACGATTTAATCAATGTCTCTTTATAAAGTTCCCGGTTCTTAGAAAATAGTTTGCTGAGTGGATTATTCAAAAGGCACATATCTATCCAGCAGGACCCTCTCTCCATCTCTGGTACACGTTTCTCTTTTCTCTTTCTCTCTTTCTCAACAGGGGGAGGCGATAGAATATAATGAATTATGTGGTGCTCCAGCTAGCAGAACAGTGTGGGGAGAAAAAGGGCGAAAGCAGATTATTACCAGCTACTGAATAAAGGATGTAACTCAGAGAAAATGTGTCAAAACTCCTGGATCACTCCCCTTCAACCAGAATTTGCAGAAAAGCTACTGACAGAAATGCTTTTTTACAAAAGTTCTCATTGTGGACAAAAAAAATCTCACAGTGAAAAGCAAGATCATCATCTGGTACTGTTTCTGAGTCAGATTATCAATACATTGTACCCCTAAGGACAAGGGCTCCAATTGCGTGGGCAGCTTTCTCCTCTCAGAAACCTCTATGTGCAACTCGACAGGAGCCACGCAGGTCACAGCTGTGGTGGCAGTGCAGCAGGAACACCTACCCTTGCAGGGGCCAGGGGTCTACACACACATGACCTCCCTCCCAGTGGGATTGTTCCAGTTTTAGAGAAGGTCTGCACCACTGGTACTCTCCTCTCCTGGTCTCTTTCTCTTTCTGGTCTCCTGTTTCCATAATTCTCCGGTCCATTTCTTCTCTGGTCATCTCCTTAAATTTTAGTGGCTTATTTACTATTGAGACATGGCTGCCTCCCCCCACCAACCCAGTGTGTGTAGACGGACTGTCCCCACCATGTGTGTAGACGGACTAGCCCTCCCGTGTGTGTTTTGAACTGCGCCCCCCAGTGGGTGTAAATGGCCTACTTCCCCCTCTTTCCCCACCATGTGTGTAGATAGACTATCCCCTTCCCCCGCCCCATTTGTGTAGATGGACGACTCCCTCCCTCCACCGCATATGTAGATTATCCCCTCACCGTGTGTAGACGGACTGCCCCTCCCCCATGTGTGTAGAGAAGCGCTAACACCCATAACGGATGTACGCGTTATGACTTCCACATTCCTCCCTCTTGGTGGAGATGAGAGTGGAAGCCCTGTGTGGATGGTCCAGGGCTTTCCAAGAAGTGGAATGGACTTTCCCCCCAAGGCTGGACCCTCCTGCACTGGTTTCACTCAACTTAAATGCAGTGTTCAGGGTTCTTTCGTGGAGTTCATTTTGAGCAGGGCGGGGCATAGGTGTCCTTCCCTGAGACTCAAGGCTTCTCTCAGGATTAGCGACAGAGAGGGAGAATGAGGACAGCGAGGCACAGGGTCCGGGAAGTAAGAAGTCACCCTGAAAAGGAAGGGCCCCCGAAGGAGCGAGGGTTTTCTGTATTATACACTGTGCGCCTTTACCAACCAGGTCCTCGTGGAAAAGATAATCCAAGGCTGCGGAGTCCCTGATGTTGTTACCGGCCTTGGGGACCAGCTAATTTTCTGCTAATTCCTATATCAAGTAAGATGTTTCCTGAACATCCGGCATCAACCCACACCAGCAGAAATACATGAACAATTTGGGGCGATCTCTCACGATTTTTTCAAGGAGATATTTAAGCCTATTTCTCTCCATCCTGTTCCTACCCGTCTCAATAAAATTGCGTGCAATTATAGAATACTGTTTCTTCAAAGTTAAAAAAATCCCGTTGTCAGACCACATGTGTAAATATTCTATGAGTTATTCAACATAGAGCAAAGGATGACCATTCACCGTACCTCAGCGAACATTTATTACAGCACCTGAATGCCCCACTAAGATGTGTTGCAAAAGATCATACTACTAATGAAATAGCAGATTTAGTTTAATAGTTGTACATCATTTTTTTTGTTTTAGAATAGGCTTCACCATTGGCTGCACTGACGTTCAATCATGACCAGTGACTGTAATTTAATGCATGATATTGACAAGAGGCAGTGGCATTTCGCCCACCCCGCAATTTTATATCATTTCAGAGTACTGTGGGAAATTGTCATTTGGCCCTGAGAAAGGTCGATGCCTGAGTTTATAGGACTGCTTTTGGGGATTCTTTTCGAAGTAGGGTTGGATAATTATTTCGGACTAAAAGCTCCATAATCACTCATACTTTTGTATCCATTCCTTTCACGATTTTAATCAGTAAGTGATTCAATCTTGAGAAAAACCGAGGGCCTTTTACTTTAAAAGCAGGTGCCACGTTTAACCACAAGGGGGCAGTATAATTCTATTCTCAGCCCTCCAGGACAGACCTCAGTTATTCTTGCTGTCGGCGCCTCTGCTGAGCCTTTTAACTGTCTTCATTAGCCTGGACTATCGCCACCCCAATCAATTCCAACAAAACAGAAAGCAAAAACCGGATGAAATGAATGAAAGTTGCAGGCCAACTACCAGCTATTTCTTTGTTTAGCCAAACACATTTAACAGGTAGGTGCTCTGATCGCTGCAAATTCTGTATAATTTGGTAGAGCTGGGATGGCCGGTGAGATTAGCTATAGAAGCCGACACTTAGTTCCTCTGAAGCCGGTTGAGGTCAGTAATGATGGTCATTACCATTTTATAGCTGTCCTAGTTGACTCATAATTAAGCATGTTGGAAACCACCTCCACATGACTCCTCACCAGTGGCCGAAATGAGGAGGTCAAGGACCCATCGCCATGGGAACGCCTCCTTCCCGGGTCATCACCAGGTGTGGGAACCATGCGGTAAAATGACACTTTACGAGCAACAGATTTTAACCAAACATCTAAATTCTTTGCTGGGCTTCTGTCCTGTGAGGCACGTGGGCAGACGCACAGGCTATGGAAGCATGAACCTCTCCACTGACGTCTCCGGTCTCCTGAAAGAGTTTTAAGCTCAAGTATTCAAATTCGGGTCAATTTCGGGTCAATTTCTCTTCCGACCAAAGGGGCTCTGCTATAGGTAAGCTTTGTGCACTGAACTCTGTGTGAGGGTCAAGAGGGTCTGCTGTAAACACGGAGCCATGTCTGTCCACCAGGGCCCTGCTAAGGCCCAAGGGTCTCTGCCATAC